GTAAGGTTTCACCTATGGGTTTCACACATTAAAATAACAAAATAAACTATTTCAAATCATTGCCCTTTTAAGTTCGAGTGCTGCATTTGAAACCACACAGAAGAACAATCAATACGATCTTTCTCAGGTATTAGAGGTAAAAAGGAAAGTTTGAATATTACATTATGTAAGAATTTCTTTAACACATCATTCTGGTTGATGTGGCAATAATTACAGGTGGTTATTGGGTATTTTAATCCAGATTGAATACTATTGAACATTATTCACCATTTATTCATTATCCATTTATATATGTTTATTTACTGTTTGTCTTCATACAGAGTTTATGGGTTAAGCTGAATCCAATATTCATTATGTAAAATCTGAATCTGAAGAATAACTATTCTTTACAGCTCTCAAATAATGCACTGAAGTGAGAGGTACCATGTTTTGAAATAAATTGAAATGAAAATATTCAATAGAATATTCCTTCAAATTATATTAAAGGCTCAGACCTGTATTCAGCCATTTTTTCTAGCACAACATTCTTTAAGTTAGACACATATTCTGGAAAATATAGGCTGGGAATAATGTGGTTGCTAAAGTCTACTTAACATTAACAAGCTGCAAATTGTCCCGACCTCACAGGTCCAACAAAACATAAGGGACAATTAGAGACTTTCAGATTTACAGTCTATAAACTCCTAAACAGTGTTCACTTTAAATCACTGTCAAGAAGCAGACACAAATGGAATTGAACATGTTTATTTACATGTGTTAGATGCAGATCAGAAAAGACTTAATGACCCACCATCAAGTCCCAACATTTAGCATTTATAAGAATGATATAAACATGTAATAAATGCTTAAAAATCCACTATAATGCAGCTGTTTATTAATTTAATGTCAAGTGTCCATCCATTCCTCTGCTCACAGCTACATTATACAGCACTAATTACATGTGTACATTGTAAATGCTTAATAAGTTAAGTGCTATCATGTTGTGTGTGTTATTCTTTTCAGAGCAGCTTGAAGAGACTTTTTCAGGAAGGTTTCATTCAACGTCAGGCAACAAGACAGGGAGTGTTTGTGTACAGCCGTCATCTGGAAAAAAGATAGAAACATGCACAAAGAGCTCAAACACAGTTCAATCCAATGTTCAAACATTAACTCATGATATAAACCCAAAAACTCACATGGCTGCTATATTTGGTGAGGACTGTTAACATCATTTTAGCAAACTTCACAGACTTTGTGAATTGAGGACCCTGGCTGACGAGCTGTTCGATGAACTGTGTGAACACTTCTTCATTCAAATCAGGCTGGAAAAAAGAAAAGAGGCAGATCAATAACAGTGAGTATTAGGTCTGGTCTTGCAGCACTTTTCTCACGAGTGAACACTGGACTAACCTTGGACTCGAGCAGGCTGTGGATAACAGAGAGCACCGCCTCACTCCACTCAATGCTGAATGTCATTCTGGGAGAAAAAGGGTGAAAGAAAAAAACTAAAATGACTGCACTGTGGTTGAATGGCTCAGCCAACCAGTGCAGTTTCCGTGTACACATTTCTACAGACTTTTTCCCCCACATTTTTATTAGGTCAATGTGACCTTTGACCATTAAAACAGAATCACTTCAACTTAAAATCTTAGTCCAAGTGACAACTGATCAAAAGTTAAATAAATTCCCTCAAGCACTCTCGAATGGACGGACAACCTGAAGACATAATGTCCTTGGCCACTGTCTATCGAAGACATAAATATAAAAAACAACCAATCACCATCAGAGACCATTATTTTGAACTCATTATTATTCTGTGCTTCTTTGACTTGACCTGATTCTGCGGTCTTGTCTTTGGACTTTGTGTCTGAAAACTGCAACAAAAACACAGCATGATCTTACTGAAGCAGCAGGAGTCTGTAATGAGAATCCAGACAGCCCTCTATCAGTCGGTTTAGCAGCTCCGCCTGTGGATTCCCTGAAAACAAGAGGAATTTCAGAATAGAAGATCAATTGATGTTTGGGCAAAGGACCAGATTACAGGTCCTGGCTCATGCTCATTCTGTGTGCTTTAACCAGGACACTGAATCCACTGCTGCTCTGTCACTGACAGACCCTGATCCTCCCTGAGACAAACTGTGTTCGCAGTTGTTGCTCAGCCTTCTCCTCACCTATGTTCTTCTCCTTTAGAATTGGTCCGATTAGAGCGTGGCACATCGGTCTGGGATAGCGGCCACACAGCGACGTTACTGCAGTGACCAGGCACCTGGAGGCCGGTTCTGACAGAGACAGCACCTACACAGCACCAGGATGCTCCATTAGTATCAAACACGGCGACGCAGTTTTGCATCGTTTGCCTATGCAGTGCTGTACCCTCTCCAGCAGGAGGCTCTTGATGAGTGTTGCGGCCGTGCTGTAGCTGAGGTCAGGAGAGAGCGTCAGAACACTGCTGCACAGTTTAGGCAGCGTCGGCTCCGGGACATCAGGCAAACTCAGCGCGCTACATAACCCCTCCACCTGAATAGCAGAGGTAGAGGAGCGGGATTTGTTGCATCAGGAAACATCAGCAAGCAAATGTTATGAGTGGTTCAGAAAAGCTTCTTCACTGATTTAGTGAAGCAACAGAGGAAAGTACATTAAGCTGGAGTCTAACTAACTATTGGGATTTAGAAGATAAGGTGAAGTAATGTTTGAATTTAAAGCGTGACTGAGCATGAAAACATTTTTTTTTTAAATCAGGTATAACATTTTGAGGACGCACTTGAGCAGGATCACAGTCATTCAGCACTTTGAACACATCCATGGAGCTCTGGTCCCACTGAAAACACACACAATAAACTGAAACTAAATTATTATAATAATAAAAAATATCCCTTTTTAAAGACTGCACTGGGTAGATGAGAGAAAACAACTCTCCTCACCTCTGTATGACTTTCCAGTAATTCTTTTATTTGAAGAACAGAAACCTGAAAAATGAATACACCAGTTTCATTTCACATCTAATCTGTGATAAAAAATGGTTGGATTAGTAAACTTGATTTGATCAGTTCAGCTCCTTTGTAGAAATGGATGATACATTTTGTCTCTACCTTTATGTGTTCAGGCAGAGAGTCACACAGTCTGTCTGGTGCTGGCTGCAGTTCTTCAGCAGGAGTTTCTGCTGCAGCATCTCTTTCTAACCGTTCTGGTGTCTCCTTGTGTACGTCCTGTTCTTCTGCACTAACACGCTCACTGCCACAGACATCCATCTTTCTCCGTTTACTCTGCTGTTCCGTCTCTTCATCACCTGAGTCCACAGTGACAAAACTTAATTTCCTCTTCCTTTGTGTCCCCAGCTCTGACAAACTAGATGCACTCTGAGACCCAGATTCCACCGTTTGATCACTGAGGCACTTGGCCCAACCTCCTGTTCCACCGCAAACAGCCAAACGCTGTGAGAGCTCCTTCAGTCTCTGGCTGCACAGCGGAGAGTACAGAGGCTCCTCATCGTGCACGCCCACACTTCTCCTAATCTGTCTACACAGAGCGGAGATCCAGGGGTTGGGATGAGGGTCCTGGCTGAGGCACTTGAGCAGATGCAGAACAGAGGTCTGAGGAAGAACCGGGTGGATCAGATAAATGAAGGACAGCAGGTTTTGTTTCAATGATGCTGGAAACAGGCTCACCAAGGGTTTACTAGAATAAGTGAGGAAAAAATGAGTGTGAGACACAAGCAACTGGTAAATATGGCAAAATATGGCAGCAGTTTGTCTTCTGGCTGAGACAATATGTTGATTAATCAATTGACAGAAAATAGTCAATGTGATTCAGTAATTTTTCAAACATGAGGAGTTGCAGATTTCAGCCTCTCTAATGTCGCTGTTTTTCTTTCCTTCATCACTGTAAAGGGACAATTCACACTAAATAAAATATAATAAAAATGAATAATTATTAAAATAACTACAAGCAAAAAAAAGCTCACATATGATTATCAGGGACAATGAAACAGTCTCTAATTGATTTATCAATGACACAGACAGACAGACACAAAGTCACAGAGAGACAAACTCAGAGACACAAAGTCAGACAGAGACAGAGACACATAGACACAGACAGACAGAGACACAAATTCACAGAGACACAAACAGACAGACACAAAGTCAGAGACACAGACAAATAGAGACACACACAGACGCACAGAGATACAAACAAAGTCACAGACAGAGACACAGACAGAGACAGAGATACAAACAAAGTCACAGACAGAGACACAGACAGAGACAGAGATACAAACAAAGTCACAGACAGAGACACAGACAGAGACACAGGCGCATAGAGACAAAGTCACCAACAGACACGGACATACAGACTTTACTGATCCCAGACTGACTCACACAGTCAGTGGCTGCTCTCCAGTCTGTGAGCAGGTGACCTCGTCTTCACACAGCTTCTCTATAAAGTGACACAGGGACATTTCCGGGTTCGATCGCTGCTGCCGGTGGAACACGTCCACCGCTCTGTGGACACCGGAGGCTCCGGACATCAGCGAGCGGAGCAGCAGCTTCGACTGGCCGTCAAACCGACTCAGAAACATGGTGAACATGGATCCTTCACTGGTCACTGCTCCCCGCCATATCTGTTGACACGTCTTCTTCGGTGGTATCTAATAGCAGTTTGCAAACAGCTTTTAAACGCATTACCGCCCCCTTCTGGATCAGTGTTGAATGGAAAACTCCATAATCCTAAAAATCACAGTCAAAAGGTTTTTTGTGGATATTTTCCCCTTGTGGTCTTTAAAGGACTCAAGTGGAACTCTGCACCTTCCTTCATTTTGTGACTGCGATCATGATACATGTTCCCTGCCCCCTCCCCCCCACAGCTCACCTTTAATGCTTCAGCCCATTCCAGATACTTTAAGTTTCAGAAAGAAAGATGCAACCAGCATCACCACAGCCCATTCTAAACAGGTGGGTTTAAAAAGGGCACAGCACAAGTCTTACCAATTCATGAAAAATACAAATCAATACAAGAGAACAGCAGGCTTTAGTGAGACAATGTGAAGCAATGTTTTATTTTACGTGTACAAGTACAACTTGTTTAAAAGAAATAAAATCTTAACAATTTGTATTCAAGCCTAAACCAGGAAATGGTTTTCGTTACTACCCCTTGAGACAGGTATTTTCAGTTGTGGACATCAGGAAGAAGGGGTACAGTACACTTTTTATCTTCAGACGATTAAAACTTTCAATCACATAACACTTTTAAAATATCTATTTGGTGCAATTTGTTCACAGAGAGGTCACAGGTTAGCGCTCTTATTAATCCATGGAGAGGTTCTGGGGGAATTTGACAATCTGCAACATATTTGAAGAACGACAGCCATGGGAGGGTGAACCCTTATAATCAGGATGCCAGAGACTAAACACAAAATTATTAGAGAGGACAAATCTTGTTTTTTTTGTATCTAGGAGGTAGGGTCAACAAACCGTGTGCCATGAAAAGGTAAGTGTACTTATTTTCATTTTCAAGCAGACAGTAGAAGCTAATTTCACTGATTAGTTCGTCTGTGGTTGAATTGTATGCTGTAGTCGGACTAATCAATAACATGAACACACTCAATGGTGCGTGGTTGTTTCTCTTTGTCCTGTTCATGGCAACTCAAACATTCAGTACTAATACAAGGAGGGCAGAAGGGTCAAAACACAACTGTGTGTTCTCCTGGGACCAATGATTACGTAAAGACGAGGCCCCCATCAGTGGTTTCAGGCAGTGACAAGAAGAACGAAAAAAAAAAGCTTAGAATTCGTACTCCAAAAGAGAGTGATAGGCCTCAAAGTCGTCATCATCATCATCCTCCTCAACACCAAGGGCCATGTCCATGAAAAAATCCAGCAGGGCTAAACCCACAAAGTCTTCGATATCATCTGTAGGATACTGTAAAAACACCAAAATATCACAAGATGCTCCCCAACAATCACAAGAACTCTTGAGAAACACTCTGGAGGTGTGAAATATATTTACCTGGAATGATCTTCGACGTGAAGGTTTATCATGTCGATAAAGGCACTCCGTTTTAAAGGGACAGCATCTGTATCGTGCAAAGTAACTGCAGCTTTTCTTTCTGTAAACACGTAGAGGCAGAGGGAGCATCTTCAGTAGCATGTGTGAGATTCAAAAGAGCATCATCATACACATCTCTACACCTCAGTGATAAAATCCAGGAATCGGTCTTTAATTTCTCATCTGATTGGCTCCAAACTTGCTGGGTCTACTACTGAGGATCACAGGATGTGTTTAACCCTGAGCCTCCAGAAATGTTCTGTGGACTCAAACACTTCACCCACCCCTCCATCGGCACAGTGGTGAGTAGAAAATGAGTGAATTATAATTTTTCTGTGAACTATCCCTTTAAAGACAGTGTAAATCTGACACTGAATCACCTCACACACGATCCTTACCTGCATTTCTCTTTAAAGCCAGCAATTACACTTTCCTTTTCCTTCCCTTCAACCCAGTATTTGTTTGGCACGTAAAAGGCAGATCTCACTCGACACTGTGGGCAGCTCCTGAGGAACAATCATTGAATAGTATTGATTCAGACGAGCTAATGTGATGCCATCAGATACAATTAAGCAAATATTCAAATGTTACAGACACCTACTTTACCACGTCCGGCCCAAAGTCTTTTGTTTTCCTCCAGGTCCTTATACATTTTAAACAGAAGGAGTGATTGCAGTTTGGCAATATTCCAAAAAGTCGGTCGCTTAGTTCAGTTTTTTCGTAGACTTTGTCCATGCAGATACCACACGTCATGTTTTTACTCTTGAGAAAAGACTCCCTTTCCTCTACTTCCCCCTGTGTTGCAAAGGCTGCAGCTGTAGCCCCCTCCTCTGTTGTGTCTGCTGAAGAGGTCTGCTGAACAAAAACATGACATCAGTAAAATCCAACAGTTTAGTTAAACAAACTGATGTGTCATGTATAACAGTCAAGCAAATTAGATACAAACCTGCTCATTTCTTCCATCACATGCCACCGCTTCAGCAGCATCTGATCTTTGGACCGATTCCCGAGAAGCAGTTAGAGATTCAGTATCTGTAGAAAAGTAGGAAAATAGGAAGTTAAGTGTGATAAAAGTCTGACCATGATCAAGGCCCTCCATGAAAATATCCATTACCATGTGTTTGTTCCACAGTAATATTTATTGGCAGACGTCCAGTGTTGCGTTGAGGATCTGAGATATGAAACACCCCCTCTGATCTGCTGCATTCCTGCCTGGACGTCACCTCAGCCTGCAGAAGAGCAGGCTCTGACCCTCTTCTGTCAGGCTGAGCGTGGGCAACGTGTGAGGAGGAGACTGTAGGCGCCGAACTCCTTCTACCTGCAACAGCTGCATCCGCTTCAGGTGGGAGGATATGGATAAACCTGGAATTGGGTGATGATGAATGAGTAGACAAACCTGTGTGCTTATCATCCTTTTCATCCAATTATCTGCACATCTGAGAAATTAAAAAAAAAACAAAGCTTACCTGCAGCGATCGCCATACCAGCATCCACCTTTCTGAAAGTGTCTACATATTTGGGATGATGGTATGACTGGCCACTCATGACGATAATGACACCTTGGACCAAATATGCAAGAGCCGCTTAAGAAACCCCTGTAATGACAATGGAAGGGAGTTTATTCCTACCATGTGGCGTTAGAAGTGGAGCTGGGTGGGGTCTCTAGCAAGTCAAGTTACAAGTCTTCCAAAATGCAACACGTTCAGATCTCTGAACTGATTTTCATTGGTGTCAGGAGCTGTACAAAAGCAACAGGACTTGTTTATGTTGCCTATTCATTGTTGTCCAACTCTGGAAAGTTGCAATGACGTGGATTACTGAAAATCTTCAGAATTGCATTTTCATTGTCAATTAATATTTTGATTAAATAATGAAACATAGATAGAAAAAAACATCCATCCCATCCTCACCAATTTTTATTTCCAACAGCTTGTTTTCTTTTCACAATCATCCAAACCTCCACAAATGTTGGTTTACATCAGGAAATCTTGATATGTGCAAGACTGAAACCATAATGTTCCATTTTGTTTCATTACTTTAGCCTGAAAAGACTGAATTGATTTTCATAATTGTTAATTATCCATCCATCCTTGCACACACCAACCCCAACCAACCTAGTAGATGAGAGCAGGCCCAATTTTTGAATTAAAGTTTTACTAAAGTACTTTTACTTTAATCAAGTAGAAAATTCACACTTGTTGCCTTGAAAACAAATGCTGTGAAACTCTTTTTTTTATTTATCGCACAATTATTAATCTTTGAATGTTACTGACTTTCAAAAACTTTTTAGAAGCAGTTTCATGGATTATTTCCCTGAAATCCAAGCTTGATCGATATCCAACAGGTTATTAATGTTTCTACACGCCGTCATTGCTTTTTAAAAAGTAAAGCAAACAATAAAAGCGACTTGTTCTGGTGTCATTCGCTAAAAAAAACGGTTTAAATCGTCAAAACAGTCGCTTTAACGCGGTAGCTAACGCATTCGAACGCAGCACGGCGGCACATAAATGTAGCAGAAGCTAACCGGAACAAACAAACCACCATGTTTTTCAATCTTTGACAAACCTTTGGTCCACTTTGCTGGTTTCACGCACGACAAAGAGCCGCTTACCTGCAGATGCTTCCACTGCGACCAGAGTCCATCCTCCGTGTGTTTCCCGCACGTCCCGCAGCGCCCTCCACCACACCGTCTAGTTATCAGCCAATTTACCTAGCAACCAATCAATAGAAACGTGACGTCGACGTGTGTGCGGAACTCTTCGCGTACGAAATTCCAATTTCATGGCGGTTACAACAGTCACGTGTGAGGAGCAGACACGCTCTGATCGCATAGACTGGAGTGGAGAAGGTTGTACAAGTGTGCGAAGGAAACTGGGCTTGTTTGAATGTGGGGCTCTGCACCTGTGCTGGAGTCTTTCTGTTGATCAGGCAGCTCGTTGACCCCCCTCTACAACTTAGTGGGTCTTTGGGGTCCTGTGAGTCAAGGTGTGAATGGCTGTCGAAGCCTGTAAGTTGTAGACCCACCCTGCTGTTGAGTGACTCTTTAGGATCACTGGAGTTAAAGCTTCAGTGTGAGATTTAGGTGAATGGGACTTTTGGCTGAAACTGAATATAGAATTATCCTGGTGATGTTTTCACTTGTGTGTTTCATTGTATGAATTGTTGTTTTCTTTACCCTAGAATTGGCCCTTTATATTTAAATACTTTATATTTACATCGGGAGCGGGTTCTTTACGGAGTCCGCTATGTTTTTTACAGTCGTCCAAACAAAACACTTTTTTATGCCAACTGAAGGCGACCACAGGTTTTCTGTCATGATGGGAAGGGAGGGGTTAGATGATATTCAGCTGCAACATGCAAATTCACCTCTAGATATCAAACTCTAAACACTGAACCTTTAACGATCTGTGTGGTAAATGGTCTGTATTTTATATAGCACCTTTTAAATTCCTGATGATCTCAAAGTGCTTAATAGTATGTTTTACATTCACAAACATTAATACAGTGCATCTATGTGCTGCACTTTCTATATAAGATTCTTTTGCCCAAAGACACTTCGGTATGCCGACTAAGGAAGACTGGGATCGAACCACTGACCTTCCAACCCCTGAGCCACACCCGCCACAGTTGTGGTGTGGTTGGGTATTGACCCAACCACACCACAACTGTGGCGGGTGTCTGGGCAGGGAACTTAGTACTGCATTGTGGGTGGCTGAAAGTTGGTGGTAAGCCACCTTGGTTTAAATTGTGTTTTTTTCAGGTGATGGATAGTTTCACTTCTATATGAAAAAATCATCACCTTCCTCAAAAGAGTGTAAGTGAACCACAGAGTCCCGGCTTGAGGAACTGACCCTCTTGAGCTCTGCCATCAATTTATGTAGCTAAAACCACCCATTATTCAGTTAGACCTGAAGAAGCCTCTTGGATGAGAGTTGAAACGTCTTCAAGAAACCCAAGCACGTCCAGTTGCCTACATACACTTGTTACAACTTCTGAAGATACCACGATCTTCACAGAAAAGTGGAGAGGGAAAAAAAAAAATCAGCATTTCTAATCAAGTTTATAGGTGAGATGTAAACTACACTACATCTGCAGGTAGGTTACATGTGATGATAAGGATGAAAATCATTTCAAGTATTCACACTTCAACACATCTGTTCCATCCATCACTTACACAGACATAGAGGTAGCTTACCACTTTTTTTGGTGTACTTTCTCATTTTTTATCCATCCACATCAGCCAATAAAATCAATTTTGCAATGTGTACCAAAAAGCAGGAATTAAGGCAAAAAAAAAAATATAGTCATTAGAAAATTGTCAGATATTGGATGAGACAGTGGAAGAATGTCATCACAGATCATACATTAGAGGTAGATATAGGGATCAAGACAGAATAATAGCACAGGAAGAGGATTCTGAAGGTGGAGTCTGTGTGCACTGCTGCTGACGTACTTGAGTCCACTCAGAATAAGTACAGCACAAAAATAAGTCTGACAAAGTATTGGGGAAAAAAACAGAAAAAAAACTATGAATCCTGGAAACAGTTTTGTAAGGCTGTTACACTTTGTGCCTCTCTAACAAGACAAATCAGATTGGACACAGACAGAGTTGTAATCTAGAACTGTTTGTGAATCTTAGGCAAACAAAAACAAATTATACTTGGATGCTGATTGATTTCTTATCGTCAATTTTTTTGCCAATACTATCACAGAATAATATGCTGGTTTAAGATCAATCCTGCTAAGGCGTCAAATCCATCAAGGAGAAAAAAAATGTGTTGGTATGCTTGATGATATATTTGGTACAACCTAAACTAAATAGGCAGGCATGTAAAATGAAAGAAGACATAATTAATACATAAAACAAAGATAATTCAGGTTTTGTGATCAAAAATTACAAATAATTAGTAACATAATTACAAATGAACGAACAAAAACCTTTAAACAGCAAGTTCATGATGGTTTGCATGTTCGAGAAAAAAAAAAAGAAAAAAAAAGAAGAACAAACTTGTTGTCCCTTGTACTTCAGCGGGTCACGTGTTTATAGTGTCAGCTTCAGAAAGTAAATCTGTGCAGCATAGTCCATTAGTTACCACTTGGGTAGATGGCTTTAAGACAAAAGCTAACAGAACTTGGATCTCCACATTTATTGAAAAAATTGAAATTGTATTGCACAGACAGCTGCAATGAGAGAGCTCTACACTGCTGGAGCCAGCCCAGTTTGTGTTTTACAAACCAAATGGCAAAGGAAGAAGTCATTGATGATGATAATGATGTAAACATAAAACCAATTTGTGCATCTTCAGTTTCACCCTAAGTTAGGCGACAATCACTCTTACCAAAGACATTGGCATCGTAAGAAACTCTTGCAAAGTACAAACTGATGGCTCTTTTCTTTTGCAGCTGAGCCATTGGTGAAAGAACATGAAATGCTTTCCCTTTACGGCAAAGCTCAGAGCCGTGGTGAGCAAGGAGAAGCTCTCTCTAGACACTGCTCTGGGGTCAGCTTTGCTATTAGGATGAAATAGGAGCAGCTTTGGTGAGAAAACATATCATTCTCATGTTAAGTGAACGTTGTGGGAAACTTGGACTTGCAGCAAATGATTCCAGATGTTCATCTCTCTCTCTCTCTATCTCTTGCACGCACACACACACACACGCACACACTCCTGTGAAGGTAACGCTGACATTTCGAAGACTTTGCTGATTGTGTTAACTCTACCATTCGACTGTCTCATCTGCACATGATAAAATCCAAGCCCGAATGTGGAACAGTGCTTGTACTGAATGCAGTGTATTATTTCAAATGTCAAATTTTAGTCTGTAACAGTATTGCTGAAAGCAGTCTGTGCTGAAGAACACTAATACATGTCTTTGTAGATCTCCTGTAGTAAAGGGTGGAGCGAGGTCTCAGACTCAGTCTTTTTAATCTTTTGGACAAGCAGAGCGTTCTCAGTAACCAGCTGACGGAGGTCGGCCATCTTCTGCAGCAGCTTGGGGAAGAGGTAGACGGAGTCAGAGTGGTTTGCTTGGAGATGGAGGTCCAGAGCCTGGAGGATGTTGTCCTGACTCTGCTCCACTTGCTTCACGTTCATTAGCCCGGGACGATCTGAAAGAATGAGACAGGACCAAAAAAGAGCTCACGATGATGAACACAATCATTAAGTCCTTACACCGGTTTCACAATCATACTGACCAACGTATGAATGTATGATGGAAAACCACTACAGACAATATGGCCCAGAATTATTTATGATATCACATTTTGCAGTAGTAGTATACTGGATCACAAGAATTCATAATGATAAAATAAATTGAATTCATAAAAGCTTAAGGTTTTAACTAGGATCTTTGACACAAGACTAAAAAATGAAAACTATTTGCTAAAACTCCACAAGAATGATTTTTACCTGTTTACCTGCTCAATTCTGAGCCTTTTAAAACTTTTGAAGACCTGCAGATATCCTGAATATAACAAGCCAATATGACAGAGAAAAACCCTTCAGTCTTACCTCCACAGAGAATAATGGCAGCAACAAACAGGGCCAGGTCACTGTCATCCAGCTCCAGAGCATTAAATTTGACAGCAAACTCAAATTTGGGCTCCATGATCTCACTGAAGGGCTTTCTTAGGCTTCGCAGGAACTCCCTGGTGACGAAGCCTTTACCGTTGGCCACCAACAGTCCATCTTTGTTCATGAGAGACGGCAACATGGCAAAAATAGCCTCATGCACACCATACTTCAGCAAAGTTACCTGCAGAAAGTTCACACAAAAGGACACATTGGCATATTCTGAAGTAGTCACATTCAAATGAAGTTAGTGTATTGCACTGAGGAGGAGGGGACTCACCTGGTCATTAAGGAAGAGGTCCACAAACCCTGGAATGGACTTGGCAAACTCAGTGAGCTCTCGCACAGTCTCCACCGTAGTACACTGACAGCGGTAGAACACATGGACCCCAATCTCCTTGGTCAGGGGCGCACCTGGAAGTAACTGGCTCCACACCAAACCACTTTCTGCCTTCCAGAGTGTGTCCACATCGTAGATCACAAATGGCTGAAAGGTCGGCAAATACACATATTTTTTAAATTAACATCTGTAACTACTTAGGCTTAGAGCTAGAGTTAACTTGGTATGCTATCTGGAAGTGTAGGGTAACTCGGATTATCCCAGTACATAATTGGAATATGTATTAACAAGTACTTTGTAGTTATACTGAGAGTTAATCATATTAAATTTGTAGAACCAGCCCAGCCACATCAGATTGGAAGTTTAAGACTGGAATGTACCGAGGTGCTGCTGGTTTTGCCTGTCAGGATGCTGCGGGCCCTCTTCTTGGTCATACTGAGGTTCTTCAGGTAGGCTGCATTGACTTGTTTGGCCAAGGTCTTCAGGTCAGAGCCACCTGGTTTGCTAACATTCACTTCCTCTGCAAGCAGGCCAGCCACCAGCTTCTTCCTCTCCGCCTCAGGCATACGTCCGTATCGGATCGCTGAGCAAACACACACACATGCTGGTTTTATTTTGAGGGAATGTTTCAGGAGTGTCTTTCTTTTGTGCATATAAATGTTGGTTGAATTCTTGTGAATTTCCCATCACCTAAACAAGACCAGGGAAACTCAAGACCAAACTGTCAACCAACTGCCTGCACACAATTCACATGACATAAAACTTTTTAAAGCCCAAGTCAAATCAGATCATAACATTTTCTTGGATTTGTAAAAGATGGATCAATAAATTGTCCTTGATTCATGAAGTTAACTTGATAAAAACTTTTTGCTCTCACCATCATGGGACATTCCCAAAGACAGGCACTTCTGGAAGCGACAATATTGGCACTTGTTGCGGTTCTTCTTTAGAATCTTGCAGGAACGCTCACAGCGATCGTATTCGAGTTTCATCCTCACAGTTCGCCGGAAAAAGCCCTGAGTGAGAAACAACTCAACTGGTTTAGCCACTGATATCGGACAAAAACTTGCATTATCACAATTTATAACCTCATAAAGCTATTCTGACCTGATACACAAACTGCTTTACCTTGCAACCCTCACAGGCGTGTACGCCATAGTGGAAGCCAGAGGCCTTGTCCCCACAGACCTTACACTCCACGCTGATCCCTGACCCTGTGTTGTCTTCGCGTCCAAGACGCAGCTGCTCTGACAGCGAGGGTGACGAGGTATGGGACAGGTCTGAATGAAAAAGAGCATCAATATTAAGGCTTAAAAAATGACATGTAATCAAAATATGTCATGTTCCAGTTTAATGCATGCCCCAAAAAAGTCTTACCTGTGTAGCTGGACGCTGCACTGCTGTTTTGCTTGCTATGATTGTTCTCTTCCTGATCGAGAGGCTCCTTCTCTCTGCTCTTCTGGTCCCCTTTCAGGCCTTTAGAGATGGGGACTACCTCCTTCTCCTCCCTGTCCTCCTCATCCTCACTTTCCCTGGCCTTCAACTCTTGGACGTCTGTCAGCTTCGACAAACTTGTCCCCCCACAGCTCTCCCAAGCACCAGGCTCTCTCTTCGGTGACATTCTCCTGACATCGGCAGCGTCCTGGGGGGATTTGGGCTCGCAGTAACCGTTCACCCCGTCATGCTGCCCGGTAACAGTTTGCTGAAACTCTTCCATGGTTCCTGTTGAAGCTGACTCAGCGGCTCCCCTCTTGTCACGTTGCCATCATAGCTCCACTAATAAAGAGTACATACATTTGTTTTAAACCGGCGATATTAAATTAACAAAAACAACTGCTGAGTTTTATCACTTGTAAAACGATGAAAATAGTGAATTTACTAATGTTTGGCATTCTCTTTATTTATGTGACCTGTCCCATATCAGTCAAGTACTCCTAGTTGCATTTGAGGAGCCAGGGGATGTTCTCGATAGTAATAGGCTTATGACATGATACTCACTTGCTCTGGATTAACCATGAGGCAAGCGCTACAGACAAGCATGGGTGTCTGACCATAAGAACCCTGAACTAGGCAAACTTCCAACATCTTATTGATCCAGGTTGTGTGATGTGAAAAATAACCTGTGTTGTGGTATTATGTCATTTCAAATTATAAGCTTGATATATATCATGATGTAGTACATTTTCTAGAATATCTGTCAATAAATTGCATTAAAAAATACAATAAAGCCAATAGATTCACAACCTGCTCATTGATTTATATGCATTCTGTGCAATACCTAAAAGGTAACTACTTTTCTACTTTAAAGTATTTATTAGTCTCATATTTATTGGTTGTGTCTGTTGTTGGATTTTGAACTTGTTTGCACTTTTGTCAGAGGTTGCACCTCTAAGTTTGCTGTAGTTCTTTCTCTTGTACAATGACAGTAAAGGCTTTTTTGTATTCTACTATAACCTGTTGTACCTGCTCACTGTGCACAATGCATACGCAATACGTCCATGTATATTAAACTTTACTTCAGATGAAAATTATATTGCAATGATTATTGATATTATTTTATTGCCCTGCTCTACTAGAAACACTGATTTAATTAGGCATTGCATTTAAAACTTGTACAATCTCTTGTAAGCGAAATAATTTATCTCACAACAAAGTTTTTGGTTCAGTAAAATAAAGCAATTTATAGAATCGACAAACAAATATCCGCATAACAGCCTCACCAAGTTTCTAATCACCAAACTTTAAAAAACTGGCCACAAATAAGAGCCACAGTTCTAATAAAATACAAAGATACGACAGAAGATTCCCACCCTGACCATTATTACAGTGTGTCCTCCACTATCTGATAAAGTAAACTTTGTGTCCTGTGCAGCTTGCAGACATCTGTATTATTGTTTGCCTCAGCTCCATGGTAGGGTGAACTGTGTACTTGTGAGTGCTTTAAGGGGACAGTGTGCTTGCACTGTGTACACACTGAGCGCTGTTGATCGCTGGTGGAGGAAAGGGCTTTGGGGGTGGGGGTAACTTTTTTTTTTTTTTTTTTTTGCCCCGGGCCCCCCTAGCGGATTAATCCGTCCATGAATGTAGCTGTGCTCTGGCAAACATCCACAGTAGTTCCACGAACAGATTCATTATTAAAGCTTTCAGGATCGATAGAGCCACGATGGACCACAGAGGAGGACAAACTAAACTGTGTTTCCTACATGAAGGGGGGAAGAGAAGGAAGAGAACCGTTGAGGTTTGGGACTGTTGGGACTTGTCATCCAGCAGACAACCTGTCACACTGGTTCTAGGAGAAATGTGCGAACATTACAGTGAATTTAATGAAGCACCATAACTTCATACAAGCGGAGAAATGGGGGGGGGGGCAGTTGAGTTACAGACGCGACTGAAGTCAAACTTTTCCACCGACTGTGAAAACAACACGATCCGTTTTAAAGCGTGTGACTCCGCCGTCGAGGAGTGCGGCGCGGCTAGCTCACTGTGCTAGTTAGCCACTAACCTTGGATGTTGACTACCACTAGCTGTTAGCGTGGCTGACCCACATTCCCCCTTAATACACGTTAGCGGGCTCACCAGGTTAGCTTACCTCTCCCTGTAGTGCCGGGGGTTCAGAAGGGTTTTCGCTGGGGTGAAACTGCCGGTGGGCTAAAACGGACGAGTCCTCCGAGTGGCCGGGCCAGGTCCACGATCGATCGGCTGTTGACAAGTTGGAAAGAAGTAGCCAGCGGGAGTGAGGGAGCTAGCGGCGGGGAGCTAATCAGCTAGCCCGAGTGCTAACATAAACTTACAGCGATCCCCGGGCCTTCACGGACAGGCCGAGCTGACACATCGCCGAGCCCCGGGGGAGGGAGACACAGTCCGGGCAGTTGAGCTGGCTTCCATAGCACATACACATTGGTATAGTTGACTGATAATCCCCCTGCGAATCCTAGTTTTGCCTGACTCTGCTCTGCTCAGCCTCACTGCCCCCTCTCCTCCTCCTCGTCACATGCCAGGACACAGCGCCCCCCCGTCCACACACAACCTCAAAACCCCAGCACAACAAACCCGGAGCCCCCATACAGCAGCTCTCTGGCTGAGGACTCAAGGTCTCTGTAGTTTTTCTGGATGTATTTTTTTTTTACTCTTTTCCTCAACAGCATAAAGCTAGAAATCACATTTATATAACTTCACAATTCACCCTGTGCAGTAACATGTATATATCAACCTCCAGCTATTCTTAAAATAGGCTAAAAGTGAGCTGCACAGCTCTGTAGAGAACCCCACTGTCTATATAACTTATTGCATGATCAATTCAATATTGTTTTCTTCACTCTTCCACATTTGCACCACTTGTATCTTTGTAAACAACCTTCAAGAGCTGTTATTTATATGTATATGGACACATGCATTGTCCATTTATTGTAGTATTTATTCATACTTATTTTTCTCCTACTTGCTTGCCCCTCATATATTTATCTTTACTTATCATCAGTCAGCTTTGTTGTCCTTGTCAATGTTCAGTAGTATCTTGCTGGACATTGTTATTGATACTGTGTGTGAGTACACTGAGATGTTCTTTGTGTGTGCAAATATACAGACTATGTCAATACAGCTGATTGTGATTCTGAAGTACGAGGCCGACCACTGACAGAAGGAAAAATCTGCTCCATGCTCACATGCAGCTTCAATTTATGTTTATTTATTTAAAACACACAATTTTTAACATGCGCACTCACGTCCAACATAAATGTGCCTGATTTAGTCACGTAGGCTGGTTTTCATCTGCAGTTCCTGACAGGTTACTGGTAAAAAATTACAAATAACATACAGAGGCATGTATAAAAACATAGAAGTGCAGCCTCAGTGAGCCAAGCCTGCCAAGTGTAAACCATGGGAATGAGTCGTGGTAAGTAGAGTCATCTGTAATTAGATTTTTATATCAGACTGACATATCTCAGCATAAATCAGCACTCTCAACATTATGTCATTACTGGGGGAAGTTTTCACTGAGAGTTTAACAACGTTACTGAACATTACATCATGAATCAGAGGCCACTTCAATCTAATGTGGACCAGTATTGCAGCCCTGACAAAACATCTGTCTTTACCAAGTTTACAATGTTTCCCTTTTATTTATGTGGTCAGTAATGTGTACATTTACATTGATGTTCATTACATTGTTGTTAAATTTGGTCTCGCATTTTACAAAATTAAAGTGAGTTTAGATGTAATAATTAAACAACTACTACTACTACTAGTACTAATAATAATAATATAGCTTTTTTATACAGCACCTTTCTTAGCAATGTTACAAAGTGCTTAACTAGAAGAAATAAAATTATATTATAAAAATATAAAATTAAAAACAAGACAAGGCAGTACAAATTAATAAAAACAAAACCACATTAAAACAGTATAAACAAATGAAGTAAATGCAAGTTAAACATTCACTGAAACTTTCAGAAGGAGAAACATTGAGAAAAGAAGGGTCATCCACCGATATCCCTAGTTTACACTCTGAGATAAGACTCAGTCTTTTTCTCTTGACAGTAGTATAGCTGTATATCTATATAGCTTCCTTACATTTGTGTTTTTATAATTAATTTTTATTTACTGGCTAATACCTATTTCTCTTTGTGAAACTTTAAAAAATTTAATGAATATAACGTTTTTTAAGAAAGTGATTATCTTGAATAAGAAAAATAAAGATTGATAATACTGAGAGATATAGAACAATACTGCTTTTTAAAAAAAAGGTATGGCTAATAACCATCCTTCCAGTCTATATGCAGTTTGTGCTGTCTGTCAGGGGATGTCTCTGTTCTCTCGTATGTGTTTCACCATTTAGAGGCGACACGTTAGTCAGTGATGACACATTTCAACTGAATCAATGACGACTCAAATTCAAAGTAAAGCAGATATGCGGTTTGCTCATTCAGAATTATAGGCTTCAAATATTTCCACAGTGTTTCTTTGAAACTGATGTAATGACTGTTCGATGATTCATACAATCCCTTAACAATACTTCATTTATTTCATGTCATTTCTTGTAATGTATGCAATGTCATGAAAGTGATTTTTTACAGTGTATTGAGTTGCACGTCACACATCATTAAATCAAGGGAAGATCACAGCAGAAATCTGGTTATGGCATTAATTCACTCTTTTATTTACACTTATGTTAAAACAGTTGAAGCAGGAAGTTCAACTAGAGTTTCTCTCTTCCCCCCTCTTTCTTTCTCTTTCCTGTTTTATGAGGAGCGATACTTATTGACTGAAACTCATAATATTGAGCCAACGTTTCACTAATATAAGGAAAAGCATCAAAAAGGCGAACCAAACCACACAGGTCGCATTAGATGAGTTGTGAGTGTTGCAAAATTTAACGTCTCACTAAAATGTTTGAAGCAATGAAATGAGGTCAGTAAATTTGACATTTAATTGTAGTTCTCTAAATTCGGTTTTAAGTGTAAATGTCTCAAAGTTTTCATATGTTATATATTATATTAGACAACCCTCAGCCTCTTGCCCCTCTTTCAGAAACCCTCACAGTGTGACCAGATGTGAGCTGAGCAGCCTCTCTCTGATTCATGTTTTTCAAGGGATGTCCATGTCTCCATTAGAGGTATGGGAGTGGCGTTTTTCTAGATCACACCCAGCTCTGTTGTCAACGTTTTCTTTGCTCTCTTCGTCCTGACCTTCTGAATCCGATCTCCTTCTGAGACGCAGCCCGGGATCTCTCTGCGTCGGGATCTGGAATGCTGAGAAAGAGCTTCCTAACGACGGCCTTTTCTCTAAAAACAAGGAGAGTGACAGCGAAACATGTTAGAAAAGCTTTACAGAGGAAAAATGAAATCAGATGTAAGTCTGTGACTTGGCAAGTGGCAAGAAAATGGCTGCTCTCTATCCCCCTTTCACAACTCTATCCTACCCACCCTATCAATAATGGCGATAGTGCCCAATAGTACAGGAGGGCATAAAATCTAAAAATAACACATTTTGTGAGACAGAGAAAGACAGTAGAATATTCACAAACAAATGCAGATGGGACACGTACCTCCTGGTCCGATTGGCCGCATCAGTCTGTTCATCTGGACATTCCAGTGTTTGACGTTGGTGCTCGCCTGGCGAAGTTTCCTCTGTGCAGCCTGTTGGAAAAAAAACTCTGTTTCATACGAGCAAGCTTACATCTCCTCCAAGAAATAAGCTAAAAGAGATAAATGTAGTTCTTCTTATTACCAGGTAATCAGCGAAGTTTCAGTTTTTTCGCTTACCACTACATCCTGGTCAACCCTGTGCCGGTTGGCGCGGACCTCTTCCAGCTGCCTCTGCGCCTCCTCCAGTGCTTGAGATTTGGCCTCCATTTCCTGCCTGAGCTCCTGCTTCTCCCTCTGCGTCTTCAGAATGTACTCCTCCTGTTCCTCCTGCAGGTTCATCAGTGCCTTCATTTTATCCTCCTCCTCAGCCAGTAATCTGGACACAACAGAACAAGACATATTTTCAAGAATTTATAATTGACACCAAGCTGTTTAATATATTAATATAATGTTTCAGGCAGAGTGAGAGAAGATGCACAGGACCTGGTGTTTGGCAGATTTATGGGATACATTTCTCAGAGTGATAAACAGCAACATATCAGATCTGACTGATGACAACATTTAACAACTTCCTCTATTAACATCTCAACTTCCTCATGACCACAAATGAACATGCATTTTTTAAGCTGAGCTGAAGATCCAATATCTGCACACTTGACTTCCTACTGACAGCTCATACCTCATTGTTTTCAAGCTCGAAACCTAAAACTGTGACTTCTTATTGTGCTGTGAAAGTGTTTGGCATGACAGCCTCACTCTACCCTGCTTGAGCATAGCGGAAGGCCTCCTCATCCAGCCTGGCCTTGATCTCCTGCTGCAGCGCCTCTTCCAAACGCTTCTGCATCTCCTCCAGCTCCACGATTCTCTTCCTCTGCCTCTCGGCCTCCTCCTCTTTCAGAGCCATCTCTGCCTGCATACTGACCCGGGCCTTGAGACAAAGTAAGATGACTATTCATATATTTCTTCATCTGAATTCAAATTCTTTAATTGTCTTTCTTTGCCCCCACACTCACCTCCTCAGCCTCTCGCAGCTGGACCTCCAGGGCCTGCTGGAGCTGCTCATGCTGCTGGCGCCTTCTCTGCTCGTCCTGCTCCAGGAGGGCCTGAGCCTGCTTTTGCGCCTCCTTCAGAAGTTCCAGCTCCTCCAGCTTACGCTCCCGTTCCTCCTGCAGGGCCCGTAGCCTCTGCAGCTCCTCCTCTTTAGACTGTTGTCTCCTCTCACGCTGCTCACGCTGTTCGCGCCTTTTCAGCTTCAGGTCTTTGTGGAGGGACTTTTTCCCTTCCACATGCAGCCTGATAGCTGTTTGAATGGCTGCAGAGGAAATAAAGTTTAATGTCATCATATCAAAGGTGGATCAGTGATTTATATCAGTGTCCTCCAACCTGTAGTCCACTCCTGTCTCTGTTTGGTGTCTGAGGCACTCATCTCATAAGTCTTGGAGAGGGTTTTAAGACAAAACATGCACCTCTTCCCATCTCTGTCCGGCAGCACCTGTTCAACAAGGAAAACAGTCACTGTATCAATAAATATCGTGTGATCATGTATTGATTTTTCTTTTTTACATTTTTGTGACCATTTCTTACAAAAACAGTGGTGAAGAGAAAAAAACTGTCAACTCACTGGGAAAAGGAGGTTTTTGATCCATTTTGAACGACCAAACAATATTTGATCATCGTCTACTTCCTATAATAAAGCATGATTTTAGATGATTCTTTGATTTCCCTCAGAGTAAAACATGTAGTGTGTAGCAGTGTGTGGTAAACAGGCAGAACCTGACCAGATGTTTGTTGTCAGTACTCAGTGTTGTGCCATGTGGCACTGATGGGCCAATAATTGACTTATGTGTTCACATCAAAAGCAGCAATGAGCAACCACACTAAAAAAGCTCTGAGATATGTGAGGAAACTATAACCTGCCTGGTCAGAATACATTCAGTTTTTCACTTCTGGGCTGATCTTTGGGTTATGATACCTAATATGGGAGGAGATATCAAGAGACTGTAGGAAAGTTACTAGGGTGGAGGAGTGTTCAGAAGGGGGATGTTTCACTTTGTCAAAGACAGAAGGGTCGAAGTCATCATATGAGCATTTCAGAAGTTTTTGCTTTTCAGACAAAAGTGAAACATGAACTTGTTCCCTCCACATCTCAGTAATTTTGATACTGACTCCTCATAACTGATGGAACATGTGTCCAGGTTGTGTTTTATTTTGTGTTTTTGATTTAAGTCATGAAGACATAAACATTTCTGAAAATTCACAGGAAAAAACAATGATGAGGTCATACAGTATATAGGGAAGTCAATACATGATCTGTTTGACATCTTTCTGATTCATCTTGCAACCTCTTGGAGGAGTCCCCACCCCCAGGTTGGCAACTGCTGTCTTAAAGGAAATGGATTATACTGATATTCAGGTGATTAGAGTTATGACTTGAAAATGCTCTTTCTCTCTCACTCTCCTCATACCATCTGTTGCTGCAGCTCCTCTTTTCAGCCTCTGTCTGAAATGCTTGGTTTTAGCTCCTGTGTCTTTAAGGCCCCTCCTCCTCCTTATAAAGCCCACTCCGCTCTGATTGAGCGTGTGACAGAGTTTCTAGTGTGTGTAGAAAATGTCAGCCTTTCTTCTCACTCTACCTGACTCTGTTAGTGGGCGTGCTGGACTAGCTGTTAGACGTGCATACTAACGAGAAGTTTCATGTGCAATGTTTTCTGTGGGGGAAGAAGAGCTATTTTTGTTTGACATTGGACTTTTAAACATGTGAAAAAATTCCATAGCAGGCAAGAGGAAACTGAAAAGGCAGAATATATCTCCTTTAAAGAATATATTTTTGACCCAACCCTTTAAAACAAACGATTTTTACTTAAACTGTGCAACTTTGTCGCGATACAGCTTTTACTCAACATGTAACTGCATCCCATGCATAATTATTTGTGCTATTTTGTAACATCTGCTGACACAACAAATGTCGGTAGACCACTGTCTACAGATATTCCTTCAGGCATTCTTGACTTCTCAAATTTTCTTTTCATTGTCTGTGATTTCGCTGTGTCATCACTGCACTGCAGTCTCATGTCGTTTTATGGGAAATGGCGTTTACCTTTCAACTTACCAAGACAATGGGATTTATCAATATAGGAACAAAGGTGAGTTAAGCTTAAGAACATGTCTTGTTCATGAATTTAGAATTTAAATTTCTAAATAACAAATTTAAGCGAAAACTTAAGAAGATTTTGATGAATGAGTCCCATTATTAAAAGCTAAAGGCCCCTCTAGTGTTAAGTGTCAAGCTTTGAGAGATGATCATCCCCAGCTGCTTACCTCAACACAGCAGTTCCCATCCAATGCGATGTTGCCCTGGCAGTCCTTGCGGTCCTCCCCGGTGTAGTAGGACAAGCTGCTTGGCCTTAAGGTGAACCAGCGCTCCTTCCAGTTTCTCCTCAGCTGACCTTTTTTCCACAGATAACCCTGCATGTCCAAACCAACACACACTGTTACCGCCACAGAGACGTGCCCGTCAGGAACCAAAACACAATCTTCCTGTGGTAGATGGGTCACTTACCTCTTTGAGGACATCGCCAACTATTTCTCTATACGCTTCCTCTATTGCCATGCTGATTATGCTCTTGTCAATTCCTCTAGTAATTTTTCCTGAGTTCATCATCTCAAGAAAAACCCAAACAGTAATGCCACTCTGCTGCACGGAGTCCTGGGAGAAGAAGTCCTCTAATTCAACACAGTTAAACTCAATACTCATGGCCATGCACACTTTCTTGAGGAGGTACTCCACCTGAGGAGGAGAAGAAACCAAAAGTCTTGAAACTGAAAATCAAAATGACTCAATTGAATTATCTGTGTTTGTTACATTATACTCAAGGGAAGATGTAACTAAAGATAATATCTGTTTTACTATAATCAGATTCCTCTTTGTGACACTAAATTTGAATGAATCTCATGTAATGGATTTTTATTCACTTTACTATATTTATCTATATTTGTAGAGCTTTTCACAATAAATCCCAATAAAACCACTTTATGAGGCCCATCAAATATCTCATTCAACAATGTAATCTTTTCTATAAGGTACATTTCATTCATTTGTTTCTCCGATAAACTATAGTTACACTCCTTACATCACTGTGGTACATGTCACACCACAGTTTTCTCTGTACAAGGGTCAGCGTGTGAAGCGAAAATAAAACTGGATAATGTTTTCCTAAACCCAGCATGATAGAAACAACTCTGCCCTTGAAATTTAGGGCTGTCTTTTGGCAGCAGCTGCGAAAAACACTCGACAGGAAACCAGACAGAGTTTGCAACTGAGAATCTAGCCCACACTGCTGCACAGAAAAAATAGTGTTCCATGATGGCAAGAAACAAGGTTTCAGTCTGGGTGCACTTACAGTCCAACAACATTTCTAGGCCGTTGTTGCTGACTCCAGTCTTACAGTCAACAACAGTCCACAGCAAGTCGGAACATTCATGTGACTAAATTTAGAAACAAGCAGCAACTCTGACTTTAAGATGTGCCATAATAATAATACTATATAAGCAGATATCAGATTAGCTTTGTGATTCTAACCCCAATGAGTGCTCTTGAAGAAATTCTTTTAGATCTAAATATATCCTAGTTGAACCTACCTCATCAGGAACCATAACCAGAGGGTACTTGTCCTCAGACAGAAAGTTAAAAAGACACCAAAGTTGAAAAGCATCCCTCTCTGGCAGAACCGTTGTGCTGTTTTTGTCCGTCTGGTAGTTTTTCTTTGCCGTAAGAGTCCAACAGAGCTCGTCTACATTCTCCTTATTAAAAGATCCTTCCACAACCTAAAACAACAAAATGCGGAGACATTGTCTTTGACTACAGAGCATTAAAATTAAAATGAGAAAAAAACATGTGGGGGTGTCATTACCTTATCCAGAATGTATTTGTTGAGATAAGGCATATAACCCTGACTGGACACAGGACCATCATCATCATCTCTGAAGTGTTCCTCCAAAGCAACAGGATCATGTGGGATACACAAGACTGTGCACAGGTTGTGGGACAAAACCTGAGGAATCACAAAGTACAGGACACACGTATTTAAAACAGTTGCAGTGAGATACTGAATGTAAAACACAGGCAACTGAAATTGTTTGGCAAAACAGCAGATTTCATCTTCATTTTTATTGAGCTGAAGTTTTGAATTGTCTACTGGATCATACTTTACATAATAAACAACAATGTTTTCACATGAATTAGTTTCACAAAATATGAAAGAAAGTTGTTCGAATAAGCAAAATATTGAAAGAAACAGCATTGAAACATTTTCAAGTAGAATATTTAAAACCCTTAAAGTCCCTCAGCCAGTTGAAGTACTTGTATAGGTTAGTGCCGCTCAAAGATGTTTACAGCTGAATAATATTGAGAGACTTTTGTTCAGAAATATAGAACGATATAAAGAAATGTGACAAGAAAAAGCACTGCAAGTAAACAAGTAGTACCTTTCAGTGATTACATACAGTATATTGTGTAAAGTAATACTTCTACTCAAACTAGTTTGTTAAAAGATATTTTATCAAATAAATCCACGCTTTTGCTTTTACTGCAACTATGTGTGTAAAGTGTGTAACATCCTCAGATATCTGATGCATTTTATCAGACAACCAGTCTTCGTGTGTTGAGACATAACCACATCCTGTCTTTCGTCTCCTGTGCACTACAACATCTGTCAGTTTTAAGGACACGGCATGCAAACCGTTTGCTCGCAAGCATGCAGTATGTTTAAAGAACATGGTGCCTGTTCAGAGGCTGCCTGCATGAGGGGGATAAGCCCAGTCATGAGGCTGACTTACTGCTAGCCAGGGGTGGCAGGCCGCACATCGCAGGAACATGGAGGTGGCTAGAAATGGAGTCTGGCCCACACCAAGACCAAGTGACATAACAATGAGATCAACAAAAATACAGCTGCCTCATTGAAGCCCTGTGGCAAGAGACAGCAATCACCAACATGTTTCCACTTTGTCCTTGCTCTCACTGTAACAATGTGCGTTTGACGTACACAGACTCATGTTGTGAACGTACTCTATTCAACAGGCTGTTCTCTGGGCAGGTCCAGTGTCAGAGGACCCTTTGCACAACAAGCTGGTACATCGAGGCCCAGTGCGAGCACAGCTTGGAGATGAGGGCTCCTATTCATATACAAACTGAGAGCAAACTGTTACTCTCGTGCTCCTGCCAGACAGAGATGCATATTGTGCCCTCTGTCAGCAGTGACAGCATTTTACTAGAAATATAGGGAACAAATTTGTTCCTTGTTGAACAGAATGTGGTTCAAAGGGTTTGTTTCACACAGGAAATGTTGTTGATAAATAACAATTATCACAAAATAATTATTTCCTATAGCATCAAATACAACAAAGACTAAATCACAAATGCATTTGTGACATTTAGTTTGCTGAGCACTTCAAATATCTTCACTTCATCTTCCTCTGAGTGAGCCCACATGACGGCGTATTGATTGAGGGAGGAAATGAGGCAGCGGAATGAAAAGGTTAGTGGCTTCTCAGGTTAGAAAGTAAAGATGGCTAAAGTCCCATCGTCCAGGTAGAGGACCCTCCACTCACCTTCAGCTGAGACTTGGACACCTTACCGCTCTTCTCCAGATCTAGAGCTGTGAAGCCATACCAAATGGACTTGAGCAGCTCAGACCGCAGATCCATTTCTGCAGCAGTGTTACTTTCTGGTTTCCTCCTCTTGGTCTCTTCTTCTTCCCTCTGCTGTTGACACAGGGCCTCTGGGTGACAGCCAGACACCCACACTGTGTTGCTGCTGTCAGCCAGGCATGGGCTTTTACCAGTCTGCTGGCAGCGACACCTGCTGGACGAGCACAGTTACGGACAGAGTGGGAGTGTCTTATTGTTCATTGCATTCTCTGATCCTGACCTCCAGCAGTGGAGGCACAAATACCACTTCATGAAAAGGCCCCATTACAAGTTAGTGTGTTGCAATCAAAGTTTTATCCCCCAGAACATTTCTTTTAAACTATATCAATGTAGATAACACTGAAATAATTAACTGATAAATAGGTTAGTCAGGTTACAGAAAAAAAATTAAATTTTAGCAAAATTTAAAATTTCAACATACAAACACCCTATATTGTGCAGTCTCCACGTCTCCACTGTGATGTGTTGTATATACTGATTTTTATTTCACTGTACATATATAACCCAATTTTGACTGTGATTGAAAAAAACTATTGAGATTAAAGCATCACTTAAACTGTGTTTATTTTATTTTTTTAGCAGCTAGAATATGATTGCTTTGAATATTGTTGGTCACATATTTAGTCAAATCTCAAAGGAACACTAACATGTAACTGTAAATAAATAAATTTGTCAAATAATCACTGTGAAGTGTATGAGTGTATAGTAGCAACATAGCATTCACTCAAGTGCTGCATGAGTAAATGTACTTTTCACCTGTGCTGCCTTCAAGGACAAGTGATGCTGTCAACTTTGCATGTAACTGTTCTGTCGAGACCTGACCGACCAAAAAGATAAGAATGGTTATTTTTGTTATTATTTAGCGATGTTAATGTTTTTCGATTGGTTGGTTTCTCTCGTTTGTTTACCTTAACTTTGACTGTTTATTGACTGATTATCCATGACCTTTTGAGCTAGTTTACTGATATGAGCTCTACAAACTTGTGTTTCTGTTATTTAGATTTAACTGTGGTGTTAACAACAATTGTTTAAAAATAAACTACAAAGGTATATGTGCTACCGTCCAGTAGTTTGTTTTCTCTGATATCTCACATGTTGTTGGGAGATTTGAATAAACAGTGTTAAATGGGCAACAAATCCCCATCTACATGAGTAAATAATAAAAAGTTATATAATGGTTGAAATGCGATGATTCAATTCATTTATAAAATCAGATGAGAGATGCCATAAAAAAAACAGTACGTCAACATAACTCCATATCCACTCAATGGCTTTTTCCATTTTGAATAGAAAACCAGAAAGCTGCGTATTTCAAGCTTTATTTAAAGTAGTAGTTTGTATTTGGGTTGTTTCATGTCAGTGGTTTCATGTTTTTTTTAAATTTGCTCTATGTTTTGCTCTCGCTTTGTGTTTTCCACTGGAATTAAGTTCGATTCTGTTCTATTTACACGTGGTGGGGGTCTAGGGTGGTGGGGGGTGGGGGTCTAGGGTTGGGGGTGGTGGGGGGGCGAAACAAACAAAAAGTTACTTTGTAAAACTTTCGCGTCGTTGCCATGGAGCTGTTTGTGAGAATCGGATGCTCATTGGTCAGCGACGCTGCGATAACATCAATGCGCGCAGCCATTGGTCGACACGGCTTCCTGCTTCCACCAATGGCGGGGCGCGCTTTTTACAAACTGCCGCGAGTCCAGGAAGTTGACAGCCCTCCTCCGTGAGAAAGAACCGAACAAGGGATCTTTAAATTCCAACAAAACGCCCGGAAAACCAAAACATTTGGATTTCACTTGATCAGAGACTTCACTGGACGGCCAGAAGGAAGTAACAGCGGCCATTTTGTATTTTTAAAGTACGTAAAATATGTAGTATACGGTTTTAGACGTTTAGGTAGCTTGTGTTACCGACGACAGACTCAATGTATCCCTTCAGTTAAAGCTACTTTCTCTTGTTTAGGTCGCTAGCAACACTTTGGTTTGTACTGTGTTCAGGCTCTGCTCCTACCAGTTCAGTGCTTCATCTGTTAGACAAACACATTTCATTATTCGAAGCCTAGTTAGATTCATGTTTTCACAGGGTCGTCCATGGTGGGACTTGCTTTCTCTCACTGAGTGAAATGGTGAATCTTTGGAATGTAGTCTGTGGATCTTTTTTTTTCCAGATGCATGTTTTCGTCTCCTCTCTTCTGTATGAGTCTGTGTGGTGCATCATGCCTGGTTGCTCAATTTGGTTTTTCCTTTCTTGCTCCTCTAGTTCTTCATCACCACCCTCTTCCTTCATCATCATGGATTCCCCTTCAGTCCTCCGGCAGCAAAGTCAGAACAAAATCCACAGTGACTTTCTGAGGTAAGTCAGTTTATATATACACACACACACATTTCTTACGTTTTCTTTTCTCGTTTCACTTTCTGCCTGGGCACTGAATAGTTTTTTAGTTCAGATGGAAATTATGTTTGTGGCATGTGTAAAAGACTGTCAAGTTCCAAAGCTGATAATGAACCTCCTGTCAGATTTGTAATCTTGTTTACTTATTTATTTTTGTTCCTGAATAATTCTAAATGTTTGTCTGTTTCCGAAAATATGTATTTATTTTTGTTCATTGTGTTCAACCATTTGGCTTCACTTCCTAAAAAAACCGTTCGATGGAACAAGTAATTTTACTCATGTAGAATCTCCAGCTCTACCACATCATAGAGGGGTTCTATTGAAGTCAGATCTGCTGATTGACGAGGCCATGGACGTTCACTGAACTCATTGTAGTGTTCCTTCAGTGTGAAACTTTTGCTTTGTGACATGGTGTATGATCCCGCTGTAAGTAGCCATAACAAGATGGTAAAATTGCACTGTATTATTAAGTGTGTCCAGAAAAACCTTCCGCACACATTACACTACCTCCAGCAACCAGGACTGCTGACACAAGGCAGGTTGGATCCACGGACTCATGCTGCCACATTATGATCCTGCCATCTACAGCCTCAGCAGAAATCCAGATGAATCAGACCAGGCTATGTTTTCCCGTCTACAAATGTCCAGATTTCACAGGATCAGATCTCTGTTCTATGTTTACTGGAGTGGAACCTGATGTGGTCCTCTGTTGTTGTAGACCATTCACCATAACGTTCGACGTGTGGTGTATTCTGACATGCTTTACTGCTCACACAGTTGTAACATCCTGAATTACTATAGTCCTTCTGGTCATTCTCTTCTGACCTCTCATCATCGAGGACCTTCTGTTCACAGAAGCACTTTACAGTACAGTTTTACACTCACACACACACACACACACACACACACACACACACACACACATTAATAGAGTGCATCTATGTGCAGCACTTTTATCTATGACATGTATTCCTCATTCTGATAATTGATGAATGATTGATTGCAACATTAACTGAATCTGCATTATTTTATACATTCTGCTGCTCCCATATGATCAGTCAGTTGGATAATTGCGTTAATGTGCAAGTTTTTCTAATAAAGTGTCAGTGAGAGTAGTTTCATCTATTATCTCACCATTTATTGTTTTTTTTCCCCAAACAGAATGAAGAATGAACATAACAAAATCCTAGTGAACCAGAAACCTTCCAAACCTGTGTCTGCACCTCATCTTTCTAAACAAGACAATGAGAACAAAGATCCAGGACGTTCAGACACGGGCAGAAAGGCAGCTGTGCGACCAGCTGTAAGCAGATTACCAGTGCTCGCTAAGTCTCTTCATCTTCAGACTCCAATTGACTTCAGACAATCACACTGTAGATGGGAGGAGAAACCTCTGGCTGTAAGTGATTTAGTCCTGTTCCACGGATTTAAGTGCTTTTATTTAATCTGACAATTGTTCTGTTCTTAAGATTTTGTCATTTCACTTCAGGGCAAAGCTAAGAAGAAAAAGCCGTGCACCAGGCCTGTGCCTTTTAACCTGTCGCAGCCAAAGAGTTCAACAACCAGCGAAAACCCACAGCCCGGTGCTCATGCTGTCCAACCTGAAATCAATGTAGGCAAAGTCCGTCTCAGGACCCAAAACATAAATTCAAAACCTACTAAACATTCAAGTATGTCAAGCATCCATGTGGATTCAACACATAAGTCTCATGGAAAGGCTACAGATAAAATATCCCACCTGTCAGGACAGTCCCAGCCTCCTAGCACTTTCAAGACTTCAGCCACTTTGTCCAATCCTCGATCAGCCTTTCATAATAACGCTCTGCATCAGAACAGTGCTGATCCTTGTGCACAGTCTGCTCTTAGTGCAGAGACCTGTTTGGAAAACATGAACCGGCTCAGCCTCAAAGATCCAACCAAGTCATCATATGCTGCCCAGAACACGCAGCTGACCACACAGGTGAAATCTTCAAAGAGTTCAACTGGTAAGTGAGGACGCTGCTTTTGAGCTTCTTTCTTCTGTTTTGAGCAGAATCACTGAAAACATTTTACATTTCCAGCTGTGAAATTATATTTGTCTTTATTTGGTGTGGTGTACACAATATTTCTAAATTTGTGTGCTTACATTATTTTTCCCTACTTTACTTTAACTGTACTTTATCCAGTTGTATATTGCTGTAACAGCTGAAATTCTCCAGGTAGATAAATGGATCTCACCTGTACAATAACAGCTTCGTAGCTTATTATTAATTTGATTGCTAGAAATATTATTGATCTCATGATTGCCTGCTCTCTATTTTAGTTGTTACTTTTGTGAGATTTCTACTTGTTTTGTTCTTGTAAACAGTTGTGAACATTGTTTCTAAGGTTGATTTCCTATGTGTTGATAATAAAGGGGAGAACTTCCAGCCAGACCACGCAGCTTTCCTCAGTATCCTCCGGAATGAGGGCGTAAGCACCACAGCTCTGGGATCTGCAACTCCACAGTCCAAACAATATAACTGTCTGGTGAGGTGGTTTGATGATACAGTGTCTTTTGGACCCAACCCTTTTACTGAAGAGTGTCATTGAGATGTTTGTTTTGTTTCAACAGTGATTTAAGTTCAACAGTTTTTAAAATCATCAATTTCCAGAATAAGTCCAATAATGATGTGTGTATCTACTGATGATTCCCTTGTTTGCAGCCTCTGCGAGTGTCTATCATGAAGAGTCGATCAAAAGCTGCAGCAACCACAGGTTAGCACCAGACGGAGAAACACAATATGTAATTTAGTTTAGTATGTGAAAGGTAAAGACGATTACATTAGAAGAAAAATGTCTTACTATTCTTTATTATTTTGTTTGTTTCAAATAAGCACCGAATTGCAAAGTAATCATAGTTAATTTATTTTCAATTACAATTCAACATTTCAAGAAATACATTGGATAGCTTTCTTCCTGAGATTTACTTGAGATGTTTGATGCCACCTGTCTGTATGGTAAATGAACCAGAAGCCAGTAAGCTTAGCTTAGCATAAGCAGAGTAACAATATAAATACATTTTAAAATATGAAACTAGTATTAGTAAATTTAAAAATGGTTCAGCATTACTTTGTAGTTATACTAATGCTCTGCATGTGTGCTCTTCTTACAGGATTAGAAAAGTTGGTGCAGTTTTCCCCCGACACCGCCGCTCTGCAAAGTATCCTCCAGAACCAGGGGGTGAATGCTGGAGGGCTCGTAGGTGCCACGCCTGGAAAGTCTGTCTGTCCATCAGGCCGAGGCACTTCCATCTACACAGTACGACTCATTTCTTACCTCTGCTCTTCTTCCTTATTATTTTATTTGTAGTAGGTTTTTTAATTCTATTTCTACGTTGCTTTTGAAACAGTCTCATTTTCTTTCCTAGGCTCAGAGAGTACCAATTAGGAAAAATCTCACAGAGGCGACTGGTGGACCAGTGGGTAAGTCGCAGCTGTATTTTCTTTTGTTCTTCTATGAAACCGAACACTCCCTTATCTCTTTGTCCTTTTCATCCTGATGTGACTCAGTTGTTTTGTCCTCAACAGTTGCACTCAAAGAGACTCCCCAGAGGAAATGGACTCCACAGAGAATCCGCGACACCCGTCATCAGCCCATATCAGCTATGGTCAGCATTCATTTATTGTATGGGCATATTCTGTCTTTTTGACATTTTGAGATTTGAGATTTTTAGTTTTTTTAATCTTTATATCATAATGCTGCTGTTTTTTAGAAATGGCATTTATCCACACAGCAGTCACCATATACCAACACCCCAGGTCTGAGGAGTTGCAAAACCAACCTTCAACCACACCAGGAGGTGAGCATTCTGTCAAATTACGATATGTGTTGGTACATTTACAGAGATCTGGGCTGAAAGTTTCAGTGTGTAGAATTTAGTGACATCTAGTGGAGAAGTTGCATGTTACAGCTGAAAACCCCTCACCTCACCTTCCCCTTCCAAACATGAGAGAGAACCTTTAGTAGCCTTATGGTATTCATAAAGGTTTTTAGTTTGTCCAGTCTGGACTACTGTAAAAAAACATGGCGGCCTCCGTAGAGAGGACCTGCTCCAGATGTAACTATAAAGTAATTAAATATAAAGGGTCCGTTCTCAGGTATAGAAAACAATAATTCATACAATTTAGAAGAAACACACTAGTGAAAACATCACTAGGATTATTTTATATTCAATTTCTGCCAATGATTCCTTTGACCTAAATCTTACACACTGGACCTTTAACAAGAGCATTGTCAAATGGGAAAACAAAACAAAACTTTATGGTCAAATAAAAGGCACAGTCAGAGTATGACAAAATTCTTGAAGGGACTTTTAATTTTTTTCTTTTAATTTAAGGCTTCTCCATCACAGTTTTGACCACTTTTTCTATTAAATATTTCAATGATGATGATTTCAAAACAAAAACTATATATATTAACCAAAAACGAACAAACTGTATTGCATGTTACATTTGCTCTGGATCTCATATGACTTCACTGTTTGTCGGCAGGAGATCGTGCAGAGATTGTTTGACGATCAAGAGGAGCAGAACACTGACAAAGATCCTGAGACACAAACAGAGCAGCTCCCAGTTCAAGCTTTAAGCGTAAGAAATCCAAAACTAATGCCCACACATGAATCCAAATTGAATCAAGTTCTTAGTTTTGTTATGGATTATTATTTATTTGTTTTGTTTCCTCCCCCACTTCTCTAGACTAAACCCCACTGTGAAGAAAAGGGAGAGTCAAGCAGAACTAACAGCAGTGAGGATGACGAGGAGCAGAGGGTGGCAGGTGTAAAGCTGTTCCTCCAAGCACCACAAAGAGAGTCTGTCATTTTTTTCTCAACATGCAAAAAGCTGGTCAGAGCTCCACTCTTTGAGAAGAGCTCATCTGATCAGGATCAGCATGTTCCGGTTTCATCAGAACAGAGAAATGTGCTGCCGCTGCATGAAGTCATGTCATCTGTGTCAGAACCAACCTGTCAGATCAACGCGTCTGTTCAGAGTCTGCGCAGAGGTAACACTGACGTATCACATTACCATAATAATCACTGTGTCTCATAGTGTTTAACATCAAATCCTCATAATTTTCATACTCCTGTACTGGCTTGAATACAAGACAACTTATATTCCCGTAAATTAAACTTGGTAGCCTTAATGTTTCTTGGATAGTGGGAGTAACTGTAACATGTAACATACAAAAATTGTTGTATTTACATTATACTTTAATGGGAATTTTTTATCTTTAAATTTTAGGAGTGAAATTGCAAAATGAAGACTTTGAAAAACGATATTTCATGGAAGCTGTACGAGCAGAACTACTCAGTGTTTTCCTTCTCTCTGTTTTTTGTCTTGGAACATTTAACACTTTAGAATATTGGTTATCATCTTAATTTCATGGATGTCATATATTTAGATCAATAAGGTGTCTTTTTTTCTTCTCATTTGTGCAATATTTCATCACAATTTTATGTATTTAATATGTCGTCTGTCTTCTGTGAGCATCAGCTTTAACTGGTTATGTTATGTTCAAACTGTTAAAAGTGACTTTTTCTGTCACAGACCTTATTGCTCAGAAGACTCACAATCTGAGTCCTGTGGTGGCGTTGCTGCGGAAGCGTCTTCCTCCTCTGGAGGAGCTGCGTATGGATGAGGAGGTGGCCACCTACACCTCAGTGTCTGTCCCCGCTGCTCCCGGGTTTGTTCCCCCTCGACCTCGCTGTAGAAACCCACTGGCCTCCGTCCTGCACTTTGAAGAGTCCTCTGTGAGTACACCGCTGATAGTGAAGTGTGACTGGTGCTGTCTAAAGCAGTTTGACTTATATCACTCACCTTAATACCTATTTCAATGAAATTATCCTCTTGTTAGCTATTTGTTGTACAATTCACTTTGGTCATTTTAGTGTATGTCAGAAAAAAATCTTTAATCACCAGAGTTACAAATATTTTCACACCACAAACAGATTCAACTGTAGGTATAACATAGTGACAGTCTGCTAGTTAGAGCACCACCACTAGTGTGTTGTGAGGGTGGTGCTTTCATGTTACATAGACTGAATAAAAATATAGAAATGACATTGCACCAAAAGTAAAGTAAAAACCTCTTGATCGTCCCCTGGTGGCTGGCTGGTTCTTAACCCTGCCTCCTCCATGTTGCATGGGACACTTTTAAATCTAAGCTAAGCTAAAATAATAATAACGTCTTACAGGTAGTTGTATATGTATTATCAGTGATGAGAGGGGTTATCAATGCTCTCTGTAATTTAGCATGAAAGAAAATGCACATATTTTCTAAAAGCTATTCCTTTAATTCACGGGACAATATGATACAGCACAGCACAGCGTTGTATTACAGCCGCACAAGTTGTCTCATTTATTATGTCATTGACATACTTCTCACTTCTCTGAAACATTAAACCTATACTGACATATTTTCAATTTGTTTTCCAGAGATTTGTCCCAATTGGCTTTGATCTCCCCTCTGGTTCTTCTTCTCCACACGGCTCTGCACAACAGGAGAGATGATCTGCACTACAACTACAGTATTTGTTTTTTACTGAGAAAATCCAGAGATGTTAAGCTGAAACTAATGTACTGACGAGACTTTGTTTAATGGAGATGATGTTTGTCCAACACTGATGCACGCCAGCCTTAATACAGGTCCAAAGAATGCTGCTGGTGTCATTTTTTTGAAACCACAAATCTTTTTTTCTTAAAAATTGTATTATTACTTTCAATAGATGATTTCTAAAAGAGGTTATATCTGTACAATGACAGATCTTTCATACTGGAGTGTTTATGACATGAACAACTGAATGTTGGAAAAGTAAATGTTATAAAAGGTCAATGAAGGCACTGGACCTCATTAGTGTTATAGATGTAGATTACTTATAGATTCGTGTTTCAGAGTATTTTCAGAGAATTGATTTTCAAATAATGGTTTGTTATTTGGATTTTTTAATGAGGACTGAATATTAAAGTTCTTATTGTACAGTGTAATAAATGTATATATGTCACTGGAGAGCCTTGTGTCATTTTGGGGATTTCCAACCTCAGTAGTTTAAAGGGACAGTCCACTAATCTTGTTTTTGTAAACTGAGTCATACTGTCAATTATACGATTACTCATTTGGTTAAAATGCACAAATATTTTCTTGTTCAAACCGCTCAACTATCACGAGTTGCTGCTCCTCTATTTGAACTGTTTTAATGAATAATGTGACCTTGAGCTCTCAGAGGGAATGACTGTCACTATTTTTCACCAGGACCTTATGAAATTAATTTTGTTTAATTGCAGCCGAATAATAATATGACCTAGAAACACAACTCTACAACAAATGGGCTCAACGTAAAAGAAAAGTTCACGTCAATCACTGTTTGATTAATCAGTGTAAACAGAAATGTTGTCACCTTCAGTTTTATCCAGTCTGTAATCCAGCTCTGCTTGTACGTCCCTCAACTTTTTGCAGCACAAAGCTAAATTTCTGCACCATGTCTAATTATCATTGCAACAACCACAACCAGTTTCCAATCAGAACTTTATTCTTCTTAAATGCTGTTGCCGCTCATGTGAACTCCTTAGCAACAAAGTGGATAAGATGTCCCACGTTGTCCTACATTCCCCACGTCTGGGCCAATTTATTGTGGACACGTTACCAAGTGCACATATCAGCATCATGTGAAGGTCATGTAACATCGTATCATGTAAGGAAATAAGACACTATACAGACATACACACTGTACAGTACATGTGTAATACACCCTGCTGCAGAATCAGCATTTCATTTGGGCAGGGAAATGTCAAACGTTCATGAGACCGAAGAGACAAACTCACTAAACTTATGTTGTGTGTCAAACTTAATATAAAAAGTAGGAGGAGCTGGAATGATTTTCAGAAGAACGTCACAATCACGTCTTTCTGGCTTTTATAATTATGACAAAATGAAAAAGAATAAAGGAAGTAGTCTGATAAACTGCACCAGATTGTACAGACCTAGATTTCAACACCTTAAATATGTCTGGGGTGTTTTAACATCAAGATCCACCCATGACTGCTTGTTGCTTCGTTTGCAGGATTACGCAAGAACCATTAAACCCATTTCTAGCAAACTTGGTGGAGGAATGGGTTAATGGACACATCCAGGAAGATCTGTCTTTATGTTTTATGAGAATTAAATGAAATTTTTTTTTTAGTTGACTCTGTTTATTTTAGCCTTATTCCAGAGTAATTTAGGTTTAGCATAAAAAAATTATAAGACAAAATACAGAAGAAAAATCTAGCAATACAATAATCACACTTGACACACGTGACAATCATGTGTAGGATTATTCAGCATTGGTGGAGATATGCCTGGACCCCATTCTAATCTTGCATGTTGAGGAATGTGATTTTCTTTTTTTAACAGGGGTGTACATTGAGGTAGAGACCTCAGTTACAATGTAGCCGAGTACAAAAATAAAATGAAATATTCTCTGACACCAAGGAAACACAAATAAGAAACAGTCAGATCTGCCAATCAATAGCAAAAACAAGTCTTTGGAACCAATACATCAACTTTGATTTGAAGCAAATTTACCAATTAACAAATGAATCATCTAAAATAAGAACAGCTGGAGGTGAAATAAAGTGACATCAAAAACTTGTTGCTGGATTCCATGTTGCAGGTGCATGATGACAAAAGCAGGATTTGCGATCTCAGTAAAAACTGTTGGCACCTCAGTATAATCCAGTCATCTGCCCCTTTAGGCAGATTCACACCCAAATTAAAATGACTTAACATTTATCCCCCAATGCATTTAACACAAATCAGTTTAGTACTGTTTGTCTAATTCTGCTGACAAACACAGGAACACATAAACTACTTAGCAGAGGTAATTAAATAAAAGGAAAAAGACATTCATATCAAACAAGGAAAAAAATGTATCATTATTATCATTATTTTGTTTCTATCATTTTATAAATGACACATTCAGGCTTGTTCTTTTTTCAGAACTTTTAAGATGTGGTTATTCTGCTTAGAGATAATTAGAGATTTCATGTGCAAAAGTAAAAATGTCACTTATTTATGAATTAATTGGAAAAAATTCTAACCCAGTAACGTTCCATTCTGAAGTGGTGTCACATTAGAGCCATGTGCATTGTGTCCCCCTCCCTCTATCGCAGGGGGTTATAGAATCTGATGTATATATTTAGTAGAGTTTAGTGAGTGTGCGGTGGAGGGTGTCAGTGGGAGGGGGCTCGGGGAGGGGAGGGGGGCCGGATTGTGGCCTATAAAGCCTGCGCCTCAGCATATGCCTCCCTCGAGAAGCAGAGAGCAAAGAAAGAGTACCCACACTCTTACTCTCCTTTTTCTTTTCCCTTCGTCATACCGACTTGTCCCCTGGAAACATGTCCAAGAAACCTCAACTGGCCATGGACCCCACAAAGATGGGGCTCGGACGCTCCATTGCTGTGCTGACGTCAGGGGGCGACGCCCAAGGTAAGCAGAGGAGGAGGCTCCACTGTCTAGAGCAGGGTAAATGAGTTTCAGGAAATAGCTGTTGATTTTGATGTGTCTCTGAGCTGAATCCCAACCAGCTGCAGAGGCTCGCTCCATCTTGCAGGCTCCAGTGAAGTATTGCATTGAGGCTCTGAGTGCACGGCATCATGAGTCAGTGCAGGAGCCAAAGAACCAAATGGACGAGCAACAGTTTTCCAATGTGTTAGAGTGGCACAGTGGAAGGCCAGCTGTCAGGATGATGGAGCGTGGTTATAAATCCCATCTGAAGTGAGAAAAGATTTATGAGTTTACGTGTCATGGTTTCACCAGCCGCAGCCTAATGACCTCACACCTGACGAACAAAGCACTGTTGATTCTACTAGTCAGCTTTTATCCAAGAGTTTTTAAATCATTCAGACAAATTATAAAATGCCTTTGTTTTAGAGTGGTTGTTTTTTGTAACTCTATCCTTAAATTTCACATCAAGCTTCCATAGACACTCCATCATCTCTGCTCGAAGCTCAGTTTTAGGGCGGTCTCAGATTCTCCTCATATTTCTTGTGTGTTCTTTTCCTCCGAACCTGGCTCCGACCCTTTAGAGCTGTCAACTGCCGCTTGTCCTCTCAGTCAGTGTTGTCTGTTGTTTTACATCTTTGGGGCTAAATTTAGTGGCTGTGACCTTTTTCTGGTATGGACGAGAGAAACGCCCCCTAATCCACAGCTGCTGAAACAAGAGCTGCAAGCGCTGCCAGTGTACCACAACACACACTGTGGCCTTTAGTGTATGGCACATCCAAGGGCAAGACGCTGCACAAGACATGCAGTCCCCAAAATCTCATCTCCAGTCTGTCCCCTATAAGAATTTTTGTCTCATCTGTTGCCAACGTGCAGGTCGAGTCACTTAAAGGTTAAGATGGCTCTAAAAAGTCCTCTGACATTGAACTCGTTTCCTGAAGTGTGTGAATTAAAGTGTCTGTCATCACTCACCATGACATTTATGTGTCTCAGGTATGAATGCTGCCGTGAGAGCCACAGTCAGAGTTGGTCTCTACACCGGAGCTAAAGTGTACTTTGTTCACGAGGTATGAGCTTCACACTGACACGCCATCACACTGCATATTAACACACAGAGAATCTGAAGCCTCTTTTCATAGATTTTTTAGCATCATCAAAGTTGTGTATTTAGTCGCCCTGCAGAGGAATAAGTGTGTCTGTATCGTGTGCTGCAGGGCTACCAGGGCCTGGTGGACGGAGGGGAAAACATTTGCCTCGCCACATGGGAGAGTGTGTCCATGATGCTTCAACTGGTGAGTGCCGTGCAACCGAGTCAACGCACACTGAGCCACACAACACTGTCATCACACAAACCACATATTCATGGGGAAATTGTTACACATCATTTATATATTTTTCAACAATCCCAGTCCGTTTCCTCCAGCCTCACAAAAACTGGATCTTAATAGTCTTATCTTCTTCAATAATGATGAAACATAGACTGACAGAGAAGAGAAAGAATTAGAAAGGAATAAGGAAAAGCTCTAGTGAAGCAGCATTTCAAATAATACAAATTTGTCTCCATTGAAACGGGGCTGGCAGGTTGTCCAAATAAAAAAGACAAGATTGACATCTTACACTTACTCCACTTCAGGTCTCTGAAAACATGGGAAACTGGGAGTGTGAGGATATTAAATGGCCGACCCTATGACTGAAGGATGATGGAGATGCAGTAACATTGTGAAGCTTGTGATTCACATTACATCTTTCATCTCTGTTGGCTAAATAAAGCGACTTGGCAGTGGAGATGACATGACATGTTAAGATTCATGAAGAGTGTGAAAGTGAGCGATGGAGTTGGCACAGGCCAAATTTCCAAGGTATCACCTTTACAATGACCCCCCCCTGTTTATAGAGACTGTGTTATAAAGCTGCAATCATTCCCATGTATCCATAGATGAGTATTTGAAGCCTATCTGCAGCATATATTCCAGAATATATTGAATATCCATTCTGTGAAAACATTATGGAGTTTAAATGTCACTTATCACACAATTATTCAATGTTTCTTCTTTCTCATACAGATATTGTTTGTGTGTCAGTGACTGTGTTAAAATCAGCTCCTTCTCCTCACGTGTTAGGGAGGCACTGTTATCGGCAGCGCCCGCTCCAAGGACTTCAGGACCAGGGATGGTCGTATGAAGGCAGCCCTGAACCTGGTGAAGCTGGGCATCACCAACCTGTGTGTGATCGGAGGCGACGGCAGCCTGACTGGAGCCAATGAGTTCAGGACTGAGTGGAGTGGACTGCTGCGCGACCTGGTCAAAGCTGGTAAAGAGACAATAATAATGATTAAGTGTCCTGAGGGGGGGCAGCTTTGGCCGTTTCTATCAAAATCTCTGTGTGTCTTTCATATCCATCTCTAAAAGGTGATTAGGACAACAAAATGTCAGATTTTAATACAGACGACTAAAGTGTGTTTCTACCAATGAGTGGGAATTGATTGTAAATGATATAAGTTATTACATTAATCAAGATGATGTATCACCTTAAGTTGTGGTCATAATCCCAAAGATTTTCACCAAATCTCACGGATCA